TTTTTTTTTTTTTTTTTGGTTGAGTTTTGAGAGTTTAAAACAATACTATTGTTTGCCGAAGGCTTGTATATTTTAAGTACTGCATTATACAAGTCAAATGTCGTTGTATCTTGAATACATTTGTTGTTAACCATGAGTATTTTACGGGACAATTTTGTCTTAAGGAGAACGTAACCATTGTGTGCCTCAACTTTGACTTTGTTTTTATTTTCTTCATTCTCATTATGTCATATTCCAGATATTCACAAACCACACAAAATACAATCTTAAGACGAAATTTTTATGGGTTCATAAGATGACGAAGGAAATCAAACGTCATCTTCCAAGTGCTAAACTGACCGCTTCAGTGGCTACTAAATTCCTTCACCCTGATGGTAGTTGCTCTCTTCCAAGACGAGAGACCGTCGCAGTTTAATGACTCTGATTTCAAGAGGTGGCAGCAAAGGATACTTTACTACCTCACAACTCTCTTCGTCTCTCGTTTACTTTTGGAGGAACCTTTGATCGTCTCCGAAAGTGAGACCAACGCCAAAAAACGTATATACCTCAGATGCTTGGAACCACAGTGATTTTCTGTGTAGAAATATAATATTTAACATACTAAAACACACTACATAATGTGTATTAATCGATTCAGACATCTAAGGAGTTCAGGAAATCATTGCAAGCAACGTACAAAATGGAAAATAATGACACTAAAATTTTTTGTCGGTAAAATTCCTTGAGTACAATATGATTGGTAAAAAGTTTGTGGTTAATCAAGTCCAAGAGATTCAAATCATCCTTCAACGTATGTTGGCTGAGGCATTGATTGTGAACAAAGCCTATCAAGTCACGGCTATTGTTGAACAATTGCCTCCATTATGGAAGAACTTTAAGAGTTATCTCATGCATAAATGCAAAAAGATGAAACTCGAGGATTTGATGTTTCATCTTCGTATAGATGAAGATAATCGAAAATCGAGAGTATTGGCCAAATGGAGAAAGAAGAGGCTAAGACAGAATTGGTAAGATGGCTCCAGAACAAAGTGTATTTTTCATGGAAAATTGAAATAGAACGCTAGAAGTCCAACGGATGTTGTTACGATGGTGACAAACCCCCAGTACGTTGTAGAATTGTACTAACATGTGGATGGACAAAAAATAGTGTGAATTGTTGGGAAAACTATAAGATTTGTCATAACTTGATATTTCCATCGTGTTTCGAGAATATACTTTATTAAAATTTAATGTTTATAATGGATAAAAACAAGAGACACTTGACTCATAGACACTTATAAACGTTGTCCTGCAACCCTAACTGTAAGAGGAAGTATTTGTGTAATTCTTCGTCTTCAAGTATTGAAGAAACAAGCTAGTTGGTGTGCTAAGAACGAATTTTTAAGATCGTGGATGTCCTTCATGCCCAACACATCCATAAGAACCTAGTTTTTGGACCACTGATTAAGTAAAGCCGAATTTGGTTTTCTTTATGATCATCGACAAATGTGTTATGTAGAAAGAGACCAAACTAGTCGGCTGGCGCATGAAGTCCCTCTCGATGGCGGGCTTCATCTCATTCTAAGAGTAACTTGCCCGAAGAGTTATGAATATTCTGATATTTCATAGCATAAGTAGACTTTAATTCAGGGAATCATACAATTTTTTGTAAAAATTCTAATCTATTGGATGACAAAAAGATAAACAAGTTGGTCTTATTTATTGAGTGTTTTAATTATGGCATGATAAATTAGGATTTGTGACTTTTAACACTAGAAGTTGGTGAATCTAAAATTAATTCATACAAAAAAGTATGAAAATCGTGTTAAAATGGAAAGTGACAAAAACATCATATTAAACGGTTACTTAATGCACTACTCCTCTCGAGATAAGGCACAGGGGCGATTTTAAGCTTAGGATGGGGGGGGGGGCAGTTGCCCCCCCTCAGTTTTTTAATTTTTTTACTAGTAATATTATATACTTTTTATTGCCCCCCCTAAAAATTTTGTATTGCCCCCCTTTTAAACAAATAAATAAATAATTTTGTTCCAAACAAAGTCAACCAATAAAAGTTGGGAAGTTGGGCCCAGCCCACCTAATAATCAATCTTCATTATTTAAAGTAAATTAAAAAGTTAATAAAATAATATAAAAAATAAATATAATTGGGGGACTTTTCACATCCCAATTCCAAGGCAGTAAACAATAATCTCATCTCACTTTATCAATTAAAAAAAAATGTCTCTATTGTGAATCTTTCATCACGGGACAACGGAGAACGACAACGGAGAACGCCAGAACGGACCACGGCTTTTTCTCTTCTATTCCACTATACACAATTAAAGGAACAATCACAGCTCACAAACACCTCTTTGTCTCTTTCACTCTCTTTATTAGGTAAATAAATTTTAATTTATTTCTATTTTCTCATTTTTTTTGTGAGGGCTTTTTTAGGGTTCCAACAATTATTGTGTTTTGTATGTGTTTTTGTTGTTTGATGTTGCTTATGAAACTAATTCATATTGTCTATAGTTTCAATTCTAATTTTTATTTGTTTCTATATGGCAATTCAAGTGAAAATCGAATTTGGGCTTGTTTAATTCAAATTAAGATACACATAATTTTATATTTGTATTTTTTAAATCAAATTTGTTGCATAATTTTGTAGTATGATTCCCAACCAATTTGTATTTTCCAAAATCTCATAATTTTGTGCGTGTTTAAATTGATTTGTCAACCTATGTTTTAATTTCAATTTTGTTTTGATTAAGGTGACTAAAAATTGAAGAATCATGGAGAAATTCATAAAGAGGAAGTTTATAATGGCAGAATCTTCAAGTCCCCCAAGTCAAAAAAGGGTAATTGATGTCGAAAATTTCCCGGCTGATCCAGGGCTACGACAACCAATATGGAGTTATGATGCTAATGACAGGGACAGAGTGCGTCGGGCATATTTATTAAAGGGTCCTTGTCAGCCTATTCTTCATGAATTTCCCCAAACTGAAATGGGAAATGTGAAAAGGAGGTTTGTCGCAAATTGGTTTCAAAAGTATCCTGACTGGCTAGAGTATAGCATATCCAAAGACAGTGCATAGTGCTTGTATTGTTATCTTTTTAGATCGTCGAGTAATCAAAGTGGGGGGGATGCATTTGTTGGTGAAGGTTTTAAAAATTGGAGAAAAAAGGAGAAATTTGATCAACATATTGGCAAGCATAACAGTTTTCATAACATAGCCAAATCGAAATGCAAAGATCTAACAAATCAAAATCTTACGGGAAGTGTTTCTGCTTTATTTACTGGAAAGCAAAAAAAGGATAAGGTTGAATATCGAACTCGGTTGAATGCAGCTATTGATTGTGTTCGTTTCTTGTTAAGGCAAGGTTTAGCATTTCAAGGTCATGATGAATCTAACACATCCGCTAATAGAGGCAATTATTTGGAACTTTTTCATTGGCTTGCTGAACATAGTGAACTTGTTGAAAAAGTTACATTTCAGAATGCTCCTCAAAATTGTCAGTTGACATCATCCCTTATCCAAAAAGATATTTGTGTTGCTATTGCTAATGAAGTTACTTGTGCAGTTGTTAAGGATATTGGTGAGGCGTGTTTTACAATATTGGTTGATGAGTCTCGTGATGTGTCGGTGAAAGAAGAGATGGCAGTTGTTTTAAGATACGTTAACAAAGAGGGGAAGATACTAGAACGTTTCCTCGGTATTGAACATGTTTCGAGTACAACTGCAGCTTCAATTAAGGGTGCCATTGATCGTCTATTCTCTCGTCATGGTTTAAGCATATCAAGATTGCATGGTCAAGGCTACGATGGGGCAAGCAACATGCAAGGTGAGCTTAAAGGCTTGAAAACCCTTATTTTACAAGAAAATCCATGTGCATTTTATGTCCATTGTTTTGCTCATCAACTTCAACTGAGTTTAATCGCTGTTGCAAAATATCATTTTCAAGTTCAATATCTTTTTGAGATCACGTCGAAAGTTATGAATGTTGTTGGAGCATCTTGTAAGAGGCAGGATATTCTTAAAGCCAAACAACATGAAAAAGTTGTAGAAGCTCTAAGAAAAGGAGAAATTCTAAGTGGACG